CAAGTGGCTGACCACTTAAGTAGGATAAAACATGATAAAGAGAACTTAAATCCATTCACCGGGACCTTCCCTGATGAAAATCTGTTCTTTGCCTCATTTGTTCCTTGGTTTTCTGACTTGGTCAACTACATGGTAACCCACACGTTCCCACCCGGCATGCCTAGGCACTTAAGAGATCAAATTCAATCCCAAGCTAGGTTTTATATTTGGGACGACCCGTATTTGTGGAAGATGTGTTCTGACCAGATTATTAGGAGGTGCGTGGGGGATTGTGAAATTACTTCCATATTAAGTTTTTGCCATACATTAGAGAGTGGTGGTCATTTTGGCCCTAGAAGAACTACTCATAAGGTGCTAGAAGCTGGTTTTTATTGGCCTACTATTTATAAAGATGCTTATGAATTTTGCAAAAATTGTTCAAGATGTCAAAAAACTGGAAATCTGTCCAGTAGGTCTCAAATGCCTTTGAATAATATCTATGTCTGTGAATTGTTTGATGTTTGGGGAATGGATTTCATGGGGCCTTTTCCTTCTTCTTTTGGCTTTAATTACATATTGCTTATTGTGGATTATCTTTCAAAATGGGTTGAAGCTGTCCCTACAAAGTTTGATAATGCTAAGACAGTAGCTAAACATGCCCAATCTCTGATCATAAATAGGTATGGAGTGCCTAAATTTTTTTTAAGTGATAGGGGAACACACTTTTGCAATAAAACTTTGGAGATTCTGTTTTCAAAATATCACATAACCCAAAGGATTTCCACAGCTTATCACCCTCAAACTAATGGTCAAGCCGAAATATCTAATAGGGAAATTAAGCATATTTTGGAAAAAGTAGTTAAACCTGATAGGAAGGATTGGAGTTTAAGGTTAGATGAGGCTTTGTGGGCATATAGGAAAACTTATAAAACACCAATTGGGATGTCACCTTATAGGTTGGTTTTTGGAAAAGCTTGTCATTTACCAGTTGAAATTGAACATAGGTCTTATTGGGCTGTTAGGGAAGTTAACTTAGACTATGATGCAGCTGGAAAAGAGAGAAAACTGCAACTTTCAGAGTTAGAAGAAATAAGACTTGAAGCTTATGACAACTCTGTAATTTATAAGGGTAAAGCTAAGGCTTTTCATGATGCAAAACTCACTAGGAAACACTTTGACGTAGGTGATAAAGTGCTGTTATATAACTCTAAATTGCATTTGTTTCCGGGCAAGTTAAGGTCTAGATGGCTTGGACCCTTTGAAGTGTTAGAAACCTCCCCTCATGGTGCTGTGGTAATTAGAGATTTCAATACTAATAAGATTTTTAAAGTTAATGGTCATAGATTGAAGGTGTATCACCAAGGTGAACGGGTTGCTAAGGTCGAGGACATCTTCCTCGAGGAGCCATGAAATGAGGCAGTAAAGTCTAGCCGGGACTACTAAACAGGGCAGCTTTCTGGGAGGCAACCCAGCACAAAAAACAAAAAAAAACAGGCATTTTAGTTACATTTAAGTTTTCTTTTATATTCAGTTTTTTTTTCCGTTTATTTTCTTTGCATACTCCTTGCATTTAGTTTAGGATCATTTTTAAGCTTTCATTCATTCAATTAGCATAACATGCCCTGAGGACAGTGCATAGCCTAAGTGTGGGGGTGTGCAGCTGTTTCTTAGCACTTGGATCCATGAAACCTTTAGTTTTTTTTTTCTAACTAAAAAATTTGCATTTTAATTTGAAAAAAAAGCAATGATTTGTTTTTAAACAAGCTGCAGTTGATTTCATTCTAAATCATAAGGAAGGGTATAGTTTTATAAGAACATATTTGGCACCAGGAGTTATAAATCTGATTTTCAGACCTTAATACACTTCTGCATCTTTAACTTTCCTTATACCATGCCTTGCACAGCTGCATTTTTGTTGTTCTGAAAAAAAAACTGCAGTTTTCTTTTTTGAAGAAAAAAAGACAGATTTGCAGCTTTTGAGAAAAAAACAGATTTTTTAAAAGAAAGAAAAGAATTTTTGGACTCTTCATACCTGACCACTTTTAAAATAAAGTGTTTGCACCATTTAAGAGGAACAAAACTGGATCAGGAGAGGGAATTGTGTGAAGACTGAAATTTTTTTTTTGTACTTCCTGGAGCTGCCTGGTCTGTGTTAATGCTTCTTATTGGCTCAAAATTTCAGGAGTTTTAATTAAATTTCTCACAACAATAGTCTAAGTTCTTAACTTAGAAGAATTTGTTTAACCATCCAATTATATTAGTTGTTCAATCTTTAATTGTTTAATCAAGTAGAATGCTCCTTATTTAATAATTTTTCTCTCTTGGTTAGTCACATAATCAATTTTTGGTCTAAGTTACATTCATGCACTATTACTCTCAAAAGGATCTGCCTTCTATCTTCTATCCATCTTCTTATCTCTCCATACTAAGTTTCTGAGTAAAATCTTAAGGATGGTACTATTTAGCTAGAACTGGTAAAGTAGTTCTTCTAGAGGTTCTGTCTTTGAAGGGTTTTTTATTGATTTAGTTGAGGTCTGATACATCAATGAGAGCCAAGGTTGAACATGGACTTGTCTCCGTGCTAGCTTGTTATGCATGCACTACCGTTGGGGGGGGCCTAGTATTGCATCATTAAACAACACCGGTGGATACGCAAGCTCGTGCATGTATAGCTTGGTAGCACATTTGCCAAATATATATATATATATACTTCATTGAATAAATCTGAACTGGCCTGGGGACATTTAGCCGCATTGCCTGTGCAACGAAGCATGCCTTAATGTAGGATTTAGCCTAGTTGTGCACCATGTTTGGCCAAACAACGCTTGAGTAAGTAAGTGATGACTTCCTAAATTGATCACGAATTCCTTTTCTTTTTCTTTTTACTAGCTACTCTACCTTACTCTAGCT